TACTATACTATACTATACTATACTATACTATACTATACTATACTATAAATATTTTTAAATTTTGCAGCCAAGGACGAGACCTAAAGCTGTGTCTGTGGGACCTTGCAGAGGGCAGAAATGCCCCAGTGGATTCCCTGTCCCTGGACAGCGTAGGCTTCTGTAAAGGATCCGTCCTCACTGAAGGGACCCAGGGATGCTGGCTCCTGGCAGTGCCTGGGAAGGACATGGATGAGGTAAGAACTCCAGACCTATGACCTTGACATGAGGGAAGCTGGACTATTTGAGTTCTTTACAGCCAGTCCCAAGGTGTGGCCCCATTTGCTGCAGAGAAAAGCCTGCTTTCCCGATGATCCCTATGCATGCAGGAGGTGCCAGTTGGAGTCAGAAGTGCTTCTCTGTTCTTCTCTGCTTAGTGCTTAGTGAATTTGTGGTCCATTGGTACCCTCAGGTCTTTTTTTTCTTTTTTTTTGCATGAACACTGCCTAGTCTCTGACAATGGTGAACACCTTTAGGAGCTAAGGAGTGAGGGTGGGGTAAGGAAGTAGATACCCAAGTAGAGGCTGCTCCGTCTAGTAAGACAGTTTTCAAAACTGCTGATGGAGCAACATCTTGGAGAAGGATGGGGACAGACAGGGCCAATAATCAGAGTCATTAAACCTAATTATGTCTGTTGTATCTCTCAAGGAATCTTGTACAGTTCTGACACATGCATGGGAGACCCATCATCGAAGGGGGAGCATTTGAGGCGTCAGTTTGCATTTTTATAATGGACAAGTGCGATGTACCGTAGGGTCTTCATCATGCAGCCAACTGTGTGATGGCGGAGAGGGGCCTGCCATGAAACCCCGCCTGGTCCCTTCTGCTCCCCCTTCAAGGCTGCCCTCAATGGGTACATGTGTTGTGTGCTTATAAAAGGTGTACATGGATGGGAAAGTCAACTACGGGTGCATAGCCTCTTTTTTAGCAGTGATAAAATTTGAGATTTTCCCCACACCTTTGGTTCTTCTCTTTTGGGCACATGAGAATAGCTCCTCAGTGTTGTCACAGTTGTGTCGTTTCCAGACGGGCATCTTCTGTCTGTTCCTGGTCTAGTCCAGCGCCGGTTCCCATCTCGATTTTCCTGTTTCCACCATTTCCACATACTTGAGAAGATGCCTGGGTCTGATTGTAGAATCCCGCTGTCCTCGGTGGTGAAAAGAAGCACATGCGCGACGCTTTGGCGGTCCTTTCTCTCTCCCTTCGCTTTGTCATCTTCCTTCCAGTTTCATCCCTAAGTGCCTTCCAGATGGCTTCGCCGAGCCTCTTTCCCCCTTTGCTTCCCCACTTCCCTGTTGCACCAGGACGGGATGGTTCATAATCCTCCCCCGTCCTTTGCCGAAGGGTTTACAGACAAGTTTCTATTACACCCTGGTGTTGCTCTTGGCTGCGTACCTCTCTGATTGGCAAGGAGACCCGGCGTTTCTTAACGAAGGAGCTTCCAGGGCCTTCTCCATCTCCTCGTTATGGCAGCTCATTTACATCGGTCACGTGACTTCCTCTTTGTTGCGATCCAGTCCATCTCATTGGGGGAGGGGGGTTATCTGGCGCTCGGCTCCTCTGGTGCTTGATTGTTTTCTGAGCATCACGGCCTCCCTGAGGTCTGCAGTCCTTGGCCTCTCTCCTTCCTCACTTTTAGAAACATCATTTTACTGACTCTTCTTTCCAGTAATCCCTCCCTTGTTGCAAAGGGGAGTTATGTAAAACAAACCAAGCTCTCAGCCTTGTCTGACAACTTCGACTTCATTCACCAGCTAGATTCCCCCAGGGGAGGGGGAGGGGCATTTTGCTGTCCTGAACATTTCCAGCCTGTTGGGGTTTTATGCCCTCCTTGCTTATGTGCACCTTTACATTAAGATCAATGAGCATGAGAACATGTATGTGTGGGTATTTATCTTACCGAGTTCTATGTGAAATTTCCCCTCCTCAGGGCCAAATGGTGGCACATTAGCTATGATGATTTTCATGGTGGCCTTTTTAAAGGTGCTTACCAGGAGCACTGCCCCCTACAAGATGACCCAGTGGCCTATGAAGTGATGGTACAATCCAACCAACTCTGCCAGCGCCTTTATTTACCTCTCCAATGAAAACCTGTGAGCCATCCTCCTTCCTTTGATGTCCAACAGGCTTTTCGAGCCCCTCCAATAGTGTGCCTCATCATTGGCACATTTGGGGTGCCAGCTGCTAAGCTTATGTTTCCAGATAGTCCCCTGAGCCCCCTCTTCTCCCACTCTGCCGCCATCCGTACTTACGTGGAAGGGGCCCGTGCATACCATCGGGCTTGGTGATTTGGGGTTTCCGAGTGACCGTAGAGAGAACAGTGACATTGGAGTAGGGGATTCAGAAGCCAGATTTCTGAGAGCAAAAGAGCGGGTGTGGGGCGAGAAAGTTCAGAGAGCGGTCAAGATTCCTGATGGATGCAGAGAAGCTTTGTATTTACGAGAAATGACTCCCTTCTTTGCCTAGAAAGGCTCTCCGTTCCAGTGTCCGTCACTTGTACCGCCGTTTGTGGAATTTAGAATGGACGTGGGTTTTCCAGCCCCCAGACAAGCCGCAGCTCTGCCTGCGGGGAGGGAGCCCATCAAATCCCATAAACTCCCCTAAGACTTCGTGATACATCACACCTCCAAAGAGGCAGGTTCTGTGAGAACTCACAGATTGGCGGCTTAGGATGAAAATGAAGACTTCAGATGTGTTTACACTTGGCTACTTCCCAAGAAGAGTAATTTTGTCTTGAAGCAGGTTCGGTTCATAAATAATGAGATAGGAACAGGCATTTATTTGTTCATGATTGCATTTAAATCACCAATTGTGAGCTGCACACATTCTTCTTGCCAATTTGCCAAAAACATCTTAAAAGCCTTATTAATGTGAAAAAGAAGAAAAAGGGCGTGCTTTGCAGGCCTGCTTCAGCCACCCATGAGCACGCGGAACCCCAGGCAAAAGCAAAATCTTTTTCCTATTAAGCAAAACCAATATAAACACATAGTGTGGAGGCTTAGGTTACAGTTGTCAGACTTTGTGAAACAGTATTTGGTTCTGAGGCTTGGTGGCCGCAGCTCCCTCCTTCCTCCCACGGCCTCCTGCCCCTCCTAAGGGAAGCATCAGTTTGACTTTGTGCTCTGACAGACGGGGCTTAGTGGCCTGGGCTCGCTGCTTCTCTGCTGTGATAAGCCGCATTTCTGATCACTCAAAGATTTCCAAAATGTTTGTCTCACAGCCCTGGGAGGTCACTATTACACGGACTTTTATCATTTACTGACTTGTACTGAGGCCCAAAGTGGGACTTGTCCTCAGTCTTACAATTCCTGGGCTGCCATGGGCCCCCTCCTCCCAGAACTGTTCCAGAGAATGAAAGGGTGCAGAGCGGTAGGGCATCCTTGGCAAACATGGCTTTTATTTTTGTTTATTTTATTTATTTTTATATTTCCTTTTTTAAAAATCAGATTCTTTTAAAATGTCTTTTGCTTTTACTTCACCATCATTTCTGAATATATCTCTGCGTGTACCCTCCACCCTACAGCCAGCCAACCCGTAGATCAAAGATTTTAAAAAGAGAAAGAAAAGTAGTTCAGTAAAACGAGTAATATTGGTAATAAGAGCTGGCATTGACAAAGCGATTTAAGATTTCCGGAGCTCTTTATAGACGTGGTCCAGAGCGACAGCCCGGCGGCTGTATCTGACGATCTATGCTGCGCTGCACCCACAGTGCCCCGCCTCTGCGGGGAGCCACGCTGGAGCAGTCTGATTCATGAGAGCGTTCCTTGTGGCGGTAGTCATTCTGTTTGCCCTCGCGGCGTCAAGCGGCGAATTGTTTTCCTGACTATTCAGCCTTTACTCTGATCGGTTCATGTCAGTTCTTCATTCTTCTCAAATGTTTCTCGAGTCTTTCTGTTTGTCGTTGTCCTCAGGGTCTTCCTGCCTCTCAGTTCTCCTCTCAGTTTTCCTAAAAGGCCAGTGTGTAATGACCACATCACCTTCTTCCTCAGTAAACCGGAGTGGCTCCCTATTACCCTGACGTCGAAGGCCCTCCCTAGTCTGACTCCAGCCTGCCTTCCCAGCCTAATATCAGATTGCTTCCCTTCACAGCTCTAAGGTTGAGCCCAAACAGACCAAGTGCCTTCAAAGTGCACATTCCTGCCCTTCCCAGACGTGGCAGGCCCTCTCTCAAGCTCAGGAGTGGCTCGCTTCTCTTGCTTCCTTTGCGTTTCCTCCTGCTCCTTGAAGAGCACTCGTCCTAGGTCTCTGTCACTCCCGGACTTCAATTTGCTACGCGTGTGTTCTGTCCCCCTCGCCCCTCCACTCTCTGCCGTCAGAGTCCTTCAGAGTTAGAGCGGGAAGGGATTTTGGAGGCCACTGGGTCCAACCCCTGTGTTCCAGAGAGCAGGAAACCAGGCTCCATAGAAATTAAATGACTTATCCAGGGTCACACAGTTTGTAAGCACCTGCACCCAGGTCTCTCTGACCAAGTCTACTATTCTAAGCTTAGAACTTAGGCCGACATTGAAGACACCAAGGCCACCCACTGCATTCTAGGCCATTGCCCACCTCCCTCCCCTCTCCACGTTGATGATGTGTCTGCAGTAGGACCAGTCATCTGCCGGGAAAGCTGTCAGCATCCAGTTCTCCTTCATCCCCAGTCAGTCACCAGGGCCTGGTGCCTCTCCTATGACAATCCCTCCGTTTCTGTCTCCTTTTATTGCCACTGCTGCCGCCTTTGCTCAGATGCTGGACCATTGCGCGTGGCTCCTGGCAGGCCCCCTGCCCTTGGTTCACATTTTCATCAATAGCGCTTGAGCAACGTCGCTTCCAAACTCAGACGCTTCCCATCAGCTCGAGAACAAAGTCCAGCCACCCTCGCCTGGCTTCTAGGCCCTGCCCCAGGTCCCTCTACCAAGAAGTGGTGATAAAGGGGATTCAGGGAACAGTGTGACTGGAGTGTACACACAGAAAGGGGAGTAGTGGGAGAGAAGGCTGGAAAGAGAGGTGGAACAAGATGGCAGAGGGCCTTGAGTGCTGGGTGAAGGCAATTCACATTACAGCGTCCTCTCAGTGGGGCTCGGGAAAAGCACTTCCTTTCCCTACCTCTACCTCTCCTGACGACACAGCCTCTTTGAACACCCTTCAGTCAGCAGTCAGTCAACAACCATTTATTAAGCACCTGCTAAGTGCTGGGGACACAAAAAAGGCAGAAGAC